TAAGGTGTGTGAGGGGAATTCGCATCGACTCCGGGGAAAGGTGGAGGGAAAATGGCTAAGTCCTAAGTACATGTCCCATGGCGGTACATGTTCAATAGCTGTGAGAGCTACATGCATTGCGCGCTATACAATGGCGTACTGTATAATGTGCTGCACACTTACACGTGTGTCTAAGACTTTGTGGTAAGCTTCGCGCTGTGTGAGGGCACACAGGATCGCTGCAAGCATTACGCTGTGCACGGAGTGGAATGGATTGGTGTGGAAAGAAGTAAACTACGCAATTTGCGGGAACGCAACAATACTAATAACTTGTTGGAAAGTTCCAAAGTCATTCCAAGAAAGTTGCCGCCGTGAATAAGGGTTTAAAACAAGGGAGGAGGATGGGATTTGCTATCAGCATCAGCAGGGCCGTTCCTCATTCTTTTCTTTTTATGGGATGTATGATAAAATTGGAGTACGAGGGGCTCTGCGAGCTGATGAATCTTTTTGAAAACATTGTATTTGCAACCAGCTTGGGAAGATTTCCGTTTATTTAAGACTTAGAAGCACTGGTATGGATACCTGTGTAAGTATATGACTAAACTGCCTAGAGCGTATTTGTTAAGGTTTTTTTCTTCTTTTTGGAAATTCAATACGCATATAGGGAGTAAAATCAGTTCCACTGCTAGGTTGCGGTGATGGGTGGGTTATAACTTGTCAACACATACCTCGCCAGCGGGCCCATTAGATTGGTGATAACCGGAGAGCGGGAGTTTAAAAAAACTCATCCGGTGTTTAGGCGACGCAGGGACTGGTTTGTGTACATGTGGTTTTTGTTTCTAGTTCACTTAATGATTTGATTTATACCGGCGATAATATGCCGTCCCACCTGTTTTTTCTTTTTTGTGTGTCGGGGGAAACAGTGCATATTTTCTGTGCCCTTTTTACGCACTTCATCAGTCACCCTTTGTTTAATTCTGTTATACGTAATTATTGCTAATGATGGTTAAGAATATTTTACGCGTTAGCATTTCTTGTAATGATCAGATTAAGTGGATTCCTTATTTTTATTTTTTATTTCGAAATCCATGCCTAAATGACCATTATGTTAGTTCTGTTCTTCAAGAAGTTCCAATAGGACTTGTACGTTCTCCTCATCCAAGTTTTTTTTCTTGGTTGGATGGTGGAGATGGGTTAATCCTTGATCGGACCAGGCCATCTTTTATGTTTTTTTTGTCGTTTGTATGCCAGGATGGGATGGGTCGCAAAGAGTGCACTGAGAAAATCATTATCGCTGATCAGATTCCAGTGTTTCAGAAGGGCCTGCTTAAGAGCTGGGTGTTTAATTTGTGGGTGGTAGGGTAAAACAAAGACCAGCGGGATATATTCTTTTCGGTTTTTGCACTCTCTTTAGAGTTCACGCGAGTTTCGCCTTTTTGGGGAAGAAGGGCTAAGTCTTCTTGGTTGTATCCGCGTTTATGAAGTTTGTCTTTGAAGAATTCAGCCTTCTCCTCAAATTCTTTTGAGTGTGTGCATATACGGTCATATCTCATTAATTCTCCCTTAAAGGGAATATACATCATTTGCTTTTGCTGTATGATTTTCAGAAATGGATGGAATTGGGGGGTTGGAAATATATAGCAAATATAGTTACACTGACTTTTTTTAGGTTTTGGGTTCAAAAATGCTATAAAAAAAACAAGAAAAACAATCATTCTCCTGTAGTCTGGTTCCCTGACTCCATTTAAGAAGAAACAGAGCAGTTTACATACATCGGGGAATTGTGAGGTCAGGGAACCAGTCTAGCTGGCTTGTACCTGTTCATAGGTGTGTAATCGATTGCAAACAAGTGCGATGGTCAACTGGGGCCAGTATTTGAAGAAAAAAAGCCCGTTTTTTTCCAACGCTGATCGGCTGATCAGCGTTGGAAATTGATACAAAAATACCACTTTTCTTGAAAATGATATACCAGGTGCCATGATTTTACAGGATGCTTTACACTGTCACTCACTAACAGTCCAGCAAGGTATTTCAAAATGATTTGGTAGTTTTATTTTTTGATGTTTGCAAATGTTGTATTTTCCCTTTAATCAAACCGCCAAACACTGACTTAGCGTGGGCTGAATCTCGAGCAAGATACTGAAAGGTATCAGTTTTTTTGGTTGCTACTCGAGTATCCAGTTTCCCTTCTTTTTTGAACCGTTCACCTTGGTAGATGACGAGGTCGAGGAAGGTGACTTGACTGTTTGAAATTTCTGACGTGAACTTGAGCGTGGGATGAATTTGGTTTAGAGTTTGGACGAGGTCACCGGCTTGGTCTTCGTTACCGTTAATTTTATTAAGACGTTGTCCCTGTATCTCATGTAACTCACAATTGAAGGATTGTGTGGGAAAATAATTTCTTTTTCATATTTGAACAGGGTTATATCGCATATTTCTGGACTGCATTCGCTTCCCATAGCCACGCCAATTGTTTTGTCTGAAGAACTTTCCATTGATTTCAAATATGTTTCGATGCATGATAAGTTCCAGGAGACAGCGAGCGTGTTCTCTTGTAGGTTTGGGTTTTTCAAGCACATGCCCGGAATCGCGTGTATATGTGCTTTGTTGTTTTGACAATCGGAAGCAGAAAATAGTCTATGTATTTTGAAATTGATTGAGTCGGACCTCCGCAACCACTAATAATATATAGTGTTCTATAGACGCCAAATCTGCGTCGCGTCGTGCTTTCACGTCGTGCCGTCGCGTCGTACCGTCGCGTCGTGCCGTCGTCCGTCGCGTCGTGCCGTCGCCCGTCGCGTCGTGGCGTCGCGTCGTGCCGTCGCCCGTCGCGTCGTGCCGTCGCCTCTTAAATTACCGTTTCTAAGCACGTACACTGCATGAGGAAGCGACGCACCTTCACACGTCGCGTCGTGCCGTCGTACGTCGCGTCGTGCCGTCGTCCGTCGCGTCGTACCGTCGTCCGTCGCGTCGTGCCGTCGCCTGTCACCTCGGCGCTTCTAAGTAGACTGCTTGAAGAGGCGACGCACACGTTTCCCGTCACGTCGTGCCGTCGTCCGTCGCGTCGTGCCGTCGCCCGTCGCGTCGTGGCGTCGCGTCGTGCCGTCGTGGCGTCGCGTCGTGCCGTCGCCCGTCGCGTGACTGTATCTTTCTTGGCAATAGGTGGCGCCTTCATTCTTCATGTACCTGTACTGTATTTATGACATGCGTGCCGTGCGGTGAAAGTGTTGCAAATTGCTATGTCGTACAGTTTGTACACGGTTTGTGGGGAGGCCTATTATTAGTGGTTGCGGAGGTCCGACTCAATCAATTTCAAAATACATAGACTATTTTCTGCTTCCGATTGTCAAACAACAAAGCACATATACACGCGATTCCGGGCATGTGCTTGAAAAACTAAACAACGTGACATTGAAGCAGGATAGCCTATTGATCACATTGGATATTGTGTCCATGTATCGAACTGCCCACAAGATGAGGCGATTGAATCAGTTTGCGATGCACTTGAAGTTGCCGATAGCAGTCTGTACGCAATACCCAAACCTACAAGAGAACACGCTCGCTGTCTCCTGGAACTTATCATGCATCGAAACATATTTGAATTCAATGGAAAGTTCTTCAGACAGAAAATTGGCGTGGCTATGGGAAGCGAATGCAGTCCAGAAATATGCAATATAACCCTGTTCAAATATGAAAAAGAAATTATTCTCCCACACAATCCTTCAATTGTTTAATTGATCTGTTTATCTGATCTGTTTAATTGATATGTTATTACTTACTCATGTATTTTGAATGTGGTTTATTTCTTGTTCTGTTTTCTGGTGTGTTTTTTTTTGATTTTCGTCAATTTTTGTGTAAAGCGCTGTGGTACTTTCTATGACAGTTAGAGCGCTATATAAATGTTCAGTATTATTATTATTATTATTATTATTGTTAGTTACAGGGACAACGTCTTAATAATATTTAACGGTAACGAAGACCAAGCCGGTGACCTCGTCCAAACTCTAAACCAAATTCATCCCACGCTCAAGTTCACGTCAGAAATTTCAAACAGTCAAGTCACCTTCCTCGACCTCGTCATCTACAAAGGCGAACGGTTCAAAAAAGAAGGGAAACTGGATACTCGAGTAGCAACCAAAAAAACTGATACCTTTCAGTATCTTGCTCGAGTTTCACCCCACCCTGAGTCAGTGTTTGGCGGTTTGATTAAGGGAGAATCAATGAGATATGACCATATATGCACACACTCAAAAGAATTTCAGGAGAAGGCTGAATTCTTCAAAGACAAACTTAAAAAACGCGGATACAACCAAGAAGGCTTAGCCCTTCTTCCCCAAAAAGGCGAAACTCGCGTGAACTCTAAAAAGCGTGCAAAAACCGAAAAGAATATCCCGCTGGTCTTTGTTTTACCCTACCACCCACAAATTAAACACCCAGCTCTTAAGCAGGCCCTTCTGAAACATTGGAATCTGATCAGCGATAATGATTTTCTCAGTGCACTCTTTGCGACCCAACCCATCCTGGCATACAAAAGACGGTTGGCGAGGTGCTTCTTGTGACAGGAACTCAGAATATCGCTCAGCGAGGCCATCGTGAAGAAGATGGGTCAGACAATGCTGGCAACCTCAGGAGAATACTGTCTTTGGTGAGTGGTCATGACAAGGTGGTTAAAAAACGCCTTGAAGGAGGACCTCGCAATGCGAAATACACTAGTGCAGAGATCCAGAACGAAATGCTGAAAACTGTAGCTCAAATGGTCCGTGAGCAGATACTGAAGGAGGTTCATGCTTCTGAACAATTCTCCATCTTGGTGGACGAGACTAAAGATGTCAGAAAGACTGAGCAGCTCGCACTCGTCGTGAGATATTACCATCAGGGGCAGATCACAGAGAGCTACCTGTGCTTCAAGAATGCTGATGGTCTCGATGCCCAGTCCCTCAGCGATGAATGGGCTTGTTAGTGGCTATGGACTGGACTATAGGGTTAATTTAGTTGGCCAGGGTTACGATGGGGCTGCAGTAATGAGTGGAGCTGTATCAGGTGTGGCAAAGAGGATACAAGAGGTAGCTCCTTCGGCCGTCTATGTGCATTGCTATGCACATCGACTTAATCTAGTCATCGTTGATACCTGCAAGACGGTCAAGGAAGCTGCTAACTTCTTCGCCCTGCTTCAACAGCTGTATGTCTTTGTGTCTGGGTCCAACGTTCACCAGAGATGGCTCCAAATACAGGCAGCGATGTTCCCTGGAGAGCAGCCTCGCGAGCTAAAGAGACTTAGCGACAGCCGATGGGCATGCAGAGCTGATGCCTGTGTCGTTGTGAAGACACGGCTAAAAGCGATTCTCCGGTTGCTGCATCGCATCTCTGAGGATGACGATGGAGAGCGTGCTGTCGAAGCTACAGGTCTCCTTGCACAAATGGATGAGCGGTTTGCGGCACGACTTGTGTTGATGAGCACACTACTGCAGAAGACCAAATCGTTGTCCACCATGCTGCAGCAAGACGATGTGGACCTGTCTGCAGCTAGCAACTTAGCTGCAGTCATCATTGATGAGCTCCAGGACATGCGGTCCAATGACGACACCTTTTGTGAGATCTGGCAGGAGGTGGATGGAGTCGTAAATGATTGCCGGGATGACCTCGCGCCCACCAGACGGAGACGAGCTCCTCGACCTTCAACACGCTTGGAAGGCTACCATGTGCTGGAAGCCACTGGTCAGCAGGAGCAGGCAGCCCCTGAAGTGGACTTCAAAGTTAACTTCATGTTCCCGGTGCTGGACAGGATGTTGCAGGAAATGAGAGGGAGGTTTAGCGACCAAAACTGCAGGCTGATGAAGGGTATAGATGCCCTGACACCATCCAGTGAAAACTTTCTGTCCCCTGAGAACCTGAAGGCTCTACAGGAAACATATGGGGCAGATCAGGAAGACCTGAGGCATGAGCTCCATCAAGTAAAGAGGCTGATAGAGAGAAAGGCCTCTAAAGAAGAAGCAGTACCAAAGAGCATGCAGGGTCTTGTCAATTTTTTGGAGCCCTACAAGGATGCCTTCTTTGAGCTATATCGACTTTCGAAAATCGCAGCGATCATTCCAGTTACATCAGCCTCATGTGAGAGAAGCTTCTCCGCAATGAAGCTAATCAAGACATATCTTAGGAACTCCATGGGGAATGAACGCCTGAGCGACCTTGGCATGTTGTCCATTGAAAAGCTGAACATGGATGAGTTCGTTGACAAGTTTGCAGCATCCCATAAGAACAGAAGGATCAAATTTAAACTTGTGTAGACACCACATTGGCTTCTGAGGTTGGTTAGAACTTGTTGCTTTTAATGCAAGGGAGTGCATGCGCTGTTTTGCGTACAATTTGGTATTTAAGGTATTGTTATTATTATTGCACAAAGCTCCCTCTCACAATGTTGGTGTCTAGTCCAAAAATTAGCATGAATGCAACATTCACAGATCAAAATTTTCCTGGTCGTATGGTCATGCAAATCGTTGTCTACAGTCGTTTGGCAAAACGCCAGCTTAAGTGTCCCAACAACCTTGTCCAACATTGAGAGCGCAAGCCCAGCAATTCACAGCCCCACCAGGTAACTCCTAAAGACTTAACAGGTCATGTGTGTACAAAACCCCCAGGTCATGTGTGTACAGGAACCCCTAAGCTCCGCTCAGATAGTAACATGACGCCCCCCCCCCCCCCTCATGAAATGTTCCAGCCCCCCCAGCGGCCCCCCTCCCCACTGAAAAATTCCTGGCTACGCCACTGATGGTAACCATCGTAGTACTTAATTGGTGAATGTCTGATCGCAGCTTGGTCACGTAGTGTCACCATGGCAACGGGAGCCCCGGCCAGGATGTGCGAGACTTCCTGCAAGCATTGACTGAATGTGAGGGCGCCCTTGTCATCGGCGTAGTCTCTGAAATATGAAGCGCTGTATATTACCTGTGCGCCATTTTGCGAAGTTGTTGACGAGCTTAAGAGAGTAAGATTTCTCCTCCGACGTCGCCGCGTCGCGCAAACTTCCGATGACAAATTGCCGTCGCTGTTGTCGCTCAAAGATCGCCCTCTGTCACTGTCACTTATAGATGCCGCACTGCTGGAATAGCTCGCACTCAGAGACCAGTTCAGCTTGGAAGACGAGCCGTCTGAGAAATCTGAAATCGATTTCTGTTCATTCTCGTCTTCGCTGTTCTCACCTGATGTGTTGAATCTTGTCTCCGAGAACAGAGAGATACCGCTCTCATCACCAGGCTTAGTGGACCCACGGTCCTCTTGTCGTGATGGTGTTGAGAACTGGCCTTCTGATGATGAAGTTTGACTTCTATGTGATGATGGCTGACCTGCTGGTGACACGGCTCGTCCTTGTGGTAAAGCGGGTGATCGTCTAGGGACATGGTTTGACCTCGTGGTGAAAAGAAGTGACCCCTCGGTGAAAATGAATGACCCACTGATGGTGAATATGTTTGACCATCGATCTTCCGGGGAAAAGAATTGTTCCGGTTAAATGCTGTGATCTTGCGGCGAAAAGTGATCGTCTTCAACCCGAAAGGTACGATCTACATTTAGCGTCAAACTAGTGGCGATAAGCTGTGGTCATCGGATGAAAAGGCTCGACTTTCAGATGAAGTGATTTGACCTTTCTATGACAGGTATTGACATCCTGGTGATGAATTGGTTGGCGATTGGCTATTTGGTGTAGATGTACGGACGTCAGAACGTTGCGTGTCAAAGGCGCTTGAATTTATCTCCATGTCGACGGAAATCAGGTCACCGGAATATGAAGGAACCTTGGGCGGAGTGCGGAAGCTGAAAGGCGACGTCAGTCTTGGATTGTGGGTAAAGTGATTTGCGAGGTAAAAGGTCGTACTTTCACTGTTCCATCCTGTGGCATTACCTGGTAAGAGAAAATGAATAAAAATTTGCTTTTCTCTGTGTAGGAGGAAAAAAGAAATGTTACGTATGTAACAGTTGGACACCAAAGTGATCTGTGTTCTTAGCGTGATTTTTTTGTACACGGAAGGCAAACTGTCAAAATATCATGAATTATCCTACTTAATTTTCAGAAAAAAAGGATATAAAGCATCCCGAGAAATAGTTTCCGCCCAGTATTCTGTCTTTTTCCAGGCAAAAAGAATAACCATCATTTCCTCACGATGGTTAGGACCAAACCTTTAAACGGTCAACAAAAACAAAAATCTACTGTGCGTAATTTCGACATTTTGTTTGTTTGTTTGTCATTAATAACCTGCATCAGATTGATTGCATTATTTTTCTTGTAACGCCAAAAAAAAACTGTTTGCAAATTGTGGCCATTAACTTAAAGCCCAATAGATTAAATAAATATGTAGTCAGAGACATGATAGAGAAAGTTTGGCATATCATGGCACAAGCCTTTTTCTTCCACGTCTCTTTTCTGTGTTAAATTATTATTCATTCAATAAAAGCACTTTAGATAGAGTGTAAGCGTGCACCTGCAGTGTTGTGTTGTTTCTAGATATCATTTATTACTGTCGGTGATCTGTTAAAGTGTCTCATGGCCTTACGTGCATCTTTCAAGGCTACATTTGTGCTGGTCCCAGAGGGCAAGCCTAGTGTGCTCCAAATCACGCACGCACTGACCGACCGACCGGACCGGACTGACTGTCTCTTGTGATTTAGACCCGACCCGACCTGACCAGACCTGACCTGACCTGACCCGTCCTGACCTGACCTAACTGACCTGACCTAACTGACCTGACTGACTGTCTCTTAAGATTTAGACTTACTTAAGCTGTATACCGTGGCCTCCAAAGAAATGACCATGTTAACTCTTTAGATCCCTCAGACCAAGTTGGTCTGAGACCATCTTTACTAGAAGTGCCTAGTCTTGTTTTCTTTCGTGGTTGTTGTAAACCAACTTTGAGCTAATAATTAACAAGTAAATCAGAAACCCCAAAAAGCTGGCAGAGCAATTAAAAGTAACTTTTGGTAAGATCCCAAGGAAGAAAAAACACCGTTTTCCCATTAAACTCTTACTGGTTTAAGATGAAATTAAAAGAATGTTTTCTAAAAAATAATGAGTTTCTCTCTCGATGTCACGTGCAAACACGTCTGAACTGGCGGCCAAGTCTTTAAATTAAAACTCATTGCCAAAAAAAACTAAAAAACTACTGGAAACACATAATTCCGTTCAAAAAAAGTATAGATGCAAATATTTTTGCACTTAGAAGTTAAAACTTCTCGCCAAAAAACCACTAAAACACTACTAGGAGCACATAATGGAGTACCGAAGTGAATACGTCATGCGCACAAAATGTGTGTAAAAGACATTATCGCGTGATTCAGACCGCGTCACACTTCGGTACTCCATTCCTTTGTCCCCCGTCGAACGTACTTAAAATAAGCGTACAATTATTCCTAATCTCATGCATAATGCATACGCATAGCAAGCCGCCACAGCCGCCACAGCCTGCGCTAGGGGCGCTATCACCAAAACAGTTACATCACATCAGCATATATATCTTATTATATAGGGGGAGAGAGGAAAGCACAAGTCATCAATAAACATGAGGCACAGTTTTCCATTCGAATTTCCAATTTGCACATAGCTCGACACATTTTGGCATTAATGAATGAAATATCTCAATCTATAAATATTCATCGGCTTATTCATATTTTGTATTGAGACCTTAGCCAATGATAAGCCCCCTTTTTGTCTCCACGATCACAATTTACACCTTCAATCTAGGCATAGATATAGGCTTATTATTTTGGTTTCCCTTGAGAGCTTGCCAATGATAAGGCTTATCTTCGCCACTCAAAATTTATCGTACTTTCAAGTTATGAATATTCATAAGACTATTTGTATTCTGCATTGAGGGCTCTGCCAATGATAAGCTCCTTATCTCGCTTGTTCCCGCCCCTATCTGAGACAGCTTGGCATCTCTTAACAATCTACATGTAGGGTAGTCTTTGATGTAACCGTTTCCACCTAAAACACAACAAAAAGAGGGACAAGAAGGTCATTTTTCAGTCCATGGAAAATTGATCCTTTTCAAGTCCGACAAGTTTTGCACAACACCAAGGTTGTATTCATCCAAATTCTTCCCACGCCCGAACTTTTCCCAGATTGGTGTTACTCAAGCAAGAATGGTTTAATTCGCGCAGCGAGCCGCGATAAAATTCTCCACATTTTCAAAATATGGTCACAATTTTTTTTCAATGGGCCAATTAGGCCAAGCTTCCAGGTAATCTTCACCCCTACTATACACCACAAGCCTGTAGACTCCCCTTGGCCAGACCCTAGCCACTCCAGAGTAAGGAGTGTTGAAAGACAGAATCTAAGATGGCGCCTAATGCCTTTGTGCAGTAATTGGAGATCTTAGTGGCCAACCCCTAAGTGCCGCCGATCTCTTTGTGTCAATCCCTCGTGCCGCCTAGAGCTCAGACAGGTTGTAAACAATCCCGGACGATGTGATTGACCTATATCTTGTGCATATCCAGTCATACGGGGGTTATTGACCTAGAAACACGTGTGGTGATTAAATTCTCCCGGTGGCCATTCCGCGTAAAGTTTTTGGGCTTGAAGCTCGAAGGTTAAAGACTTGACTCGAGTCACTGCCTTCGATGTACTTAATTTGATTCGAGTCACTGCCTTATAACTAAACTCAACCAGTCACTTCTTTAGAATGAGTCAATGTAACTCATGCCACTGCCTTAGAATGACTTAGCTTGAGTCAATGCCTAAGAACTATTTAAATTTAATCACTTACTTAGAACGACTCAACTTGAGTCACTACCTAACAACACTAAACTTGACTCGAATTACTCCTCAGAACTACTCAAATTCAGTAGCTGCCATTATTTCTGAACGACTCGACCCGAATTTGAGTCACTCGAGTGCCTGTTTTTGAACGACTCCACCCGACTTAAGTCACTGTGTTCTTACAAAGCCTCAACTTGAGTCACTGCAAATAGTATGACTTGACTGGACTCGCGTCACAGTATTCACGGACTCATTACAAGAATGCTGGGGTCTACCGGAGGAACACACATTTTATACCCAAGGAGTCTATGATGCCAAATCGATACTTAATTAACATCTCTTCTTACGTAGGCATTGAATGGCATCCAATGCCGTCTACAGTCGCCAGAATTATCGCTCAGTGTACCATTCATTAATATGGTAGACATTGCGTTCAAGCTTTAGAGGGCGCTACTCCTTTCCACCATTATACTTGTCATCGTTTTACACCGTGAACATTTCCATCAAATGTTGTCATCATCTTTCTTTGACATTAGGACAGCTGAGCAAAGATAGTGATTAATTTTGTTTTACTTCTGTCAAAGGATATTGAGGTGATTTATGATATAAAGAGCGTGAAAATGAGGATTTTTTTATGAAAAGAGCAGAATCTGTATTGTTTAGGTCCTGCCGCCTCCGAGAGATTTTAGACACCGTTGGTGACGCTGTTCATAGTAGCCATTTTCATATCAGTTAGGATTTTTTTTAAACAAACCTTGGTTTAACTCATACTTTTGGATAAAACCACCTTATTAGGGATAATTACCAGGTTAGACACGGTTATATTAACCGTTGCAAACGGTTATGCTCTTCAACAAAGCTACTCAATGACCGATTTGGGAATGGTGGCATGGGTCAATAAACTCATCAATCGGCCTGACATCCGAGACAAGTCATTGCTGCATTACTCCAATGACCTGAGGAATTGTCGAGCGACACTGGACACTATGGGCAAGCTAATCACAGATTGTAGAGAAATCGCCCTGGGATCTTCGCAAGAAGGTCTATCACATTACAATTGTTGATGGAAGAGTTTCAACCGTTGACGATGTTGTGAAGTTTGTGACAACTTTTGCTGAAAAAGATAATGACCCTGTCTTCCACGGCTGTGCGCGAATTAACAGCGCACTCTGTCTTCTGAATCGTGCCAGTCGGAAATTGCTATTATTATGACGTCATCGGGACCTTTTGTGGGTCGGGCCCATTGATCTCCATATATACAGACGTCAGGCCGAACGCGTTTTATATCATGAATATTTACATCTGATTATCTTTGGGATGTGATTGGTGGATGAATGAGTAAAAGTTCAAAGTGATTTCTTATTAAAAATATTTTTTTCCCTCATTTCCATATGTAAACATCGGGGCCCAATTTTATACCGCTGCTTAACGGCCGATTCTGTGCTTATACCCAGCCTCCGTTTATGGCACAGCGGCCGTAAAGGCCGCCGCACACGAGAGCTACGTGCTGAGCAAAAATGTCATTCGAGGCCGTTTGCCTCGCGAGGTCAAATTTAAGAAATCAAACAGAATAAATATTTGCCTCACGGCCCTGCGAGACAGACAATTCCACAAAAAATCACCGCACACATTGAGCTACGTGCTATGCAAACAACTCAAACGGCTTTTTGCTCAGCGCGTAGGGTAGCTATCGTAGGCGTGTGCGGCTGGCTTTAGCAGTAAGCACAGTAAAAGCATGATTAAAACTCCTACTGGATGGTATAGTTTTTCGATACCTAACCGGTGTCACGGTCTCCCTTCTCCGGCGTGCTAGCTTCTCCAGGTGGATTCGGCGGATAATTGAGCACATTACAGTGCACGTTACATGAGGGTCATTCCATGTCAGACCAACGCACTTTTTTACCTCATGTCTTCCGATTTTAATAAAAATTGCTGTGCTTGTAGGTCCTAATGAGCAATGAATACACACCAATTTTTAGCCCGATCCGACCTACCATGTGGTCAGGGCAGAAGCCACAAAAAATGGCATTTTTAGAGTAAAATACCACCCTTTTGGTATAAATATGTCAAAACTATGGCAATATTTATCGAATATATGTGAATTTGGTATTAAAATAATGAGGATTGCATGCTCAAATCACTTCTTTTGTCAAAATTAAATTTTGTGAAAAGTAGGTCACGTGACCTTTAATATGCTATCGTGACCTTTGACCCAATTTTTGTAATAATGTATCATTCCGAAAATCAACGAAATAAAAATAACTTGCTAGAGCATGTCTTCCTCTATCAGAATCTACTAAAAATCAGTTGGGGTCTTTAAAACTTACAACTTTATGACTACTTTTGTACAGTTGGTAGGTTACAAATGAGTCAATTTATAGACTTTACATAAGAAATACACCAACACAATTTACTATTCTATTTCTTAAGTTACTAAAATTAATCTAGATTTTTATGAATAAAGTACAAAGCCAGGAAAAACAAAATTGTACCTTCTGATTCCAATGAAACTGTCTAATCAGAATATCTGGACTCGGAAGTGTGCTAACCATTAACAGTAATCAGGCCTTCACCCAGTACAGCGGACTCACGTCCAGGTGAAATTCATCTCAAAGGAACAAAATGCCAAGTCTGTGAGAGTCATTAAAGTTCAAGAAGCACAGTGATGAATGAGTAAAGGTAACTTTGATTGTAATACTAAGTATTATCTTCAAGCAAACTTGAATCCTAGACCCTGATTAGTCCATCTATAGCAACAACTGTGTGATTTTATATAATATTGCACAGCTATATTGCACCCCAGATATTAAAAATGTACGTGTACACATGTTGTGTTATTTCCTGCAGAACGGACCAATACACTACATGTATGCACATACATCTTCACCGCGTGTACGCATTTGATATCAAGTTTGCTTGAAGATAAATTGGTTATAAATCCCACTTGCGCTCGTGGAACACGGAATTATGTAGTGCATCGAGTGGCATATGGGTCACAGCAGCATTGCATTATTTCATATTCCAAGCGCGCTCGTGGGATAACTAATTATCAGTGGCA